ATCTTTACTATTAATAAGTTTCTCAATTTTACCATACAGACATAAAATCCAGTTTTTATTTCTATTTCTAAACACTTTACATTTATCCATTTGGATATACAAAATACACAATCCCAAATGAAAGCAAATTTGAAGGCAATACAATCCATTTCCAATAATCCGATTCCATATTATAGTCTCAAATTTCTAAGTAAACATCTACATAAACAAAGATATCAAAAAGAAGCTTAAAAGTGACAAATACAATCAATGCTTTTGTTTTGAGAGTAACATTTGGTCAAATCTTTTTATGTCAAAGCAAAACAATTACTTGCTTTATTAGCTATCAGTTATAAAATTTCAATAGAGAAGCATCTGTATTTTGAGATTAATGTAAAATTAAGTCAATAGTAAAAACTCAAATTATGAGTGTTTCTGTTAGAAACTAAGCAAATTTGTTAGCATCAGTATCTTAAACCCATGGCAAATTCATCTGTCAAGTAAAAGATTCAAGTGTGTATTTGATATGTCTCTTTTATAGGTTTTTACATTAATATATTTAATTTAAAGAATGCTAATATAATTTTAGAGATGTACTTTTAATTAACCCAGCGAAAATAATTTCACTTTTACTTCAAAATTTCTCCTTAACGAGAGGAATGAAGGGAAAAAAAAGGAGTCTCTAAATATGTTAAATCCTTTTAAAAATCAAAATTCCTTCCTGCACTGACATAGATATATTATACAAAATTCTGTCTACTGTAGATGTCTTCAGAAAGTTCCATTACTACCAAAACATTTCATATTTTTGGCTTTCTACCTTTAGAGTTAGTACTTACCTCATTTAAACTAAAGCCTTTTATTACACTATAAAACCTTTATATGATGTTACTCTAGGCAGTTCACTAAATAGTAGAAATGAACTTAACCACAAACAAAACTCAGCTTTGTCCTCAAAAGTTCACAAAATGGACATTTCAAAATAAGCTTATGTGATTTAGAATTCACTGTGAGAGTTAAAACATGCTACCACAGAAAGCAAATTAGTAAATTTGGATAGCATATATGGCAAACTTAGCCCTTTGTTGGTTATTAAGTTCTTGTTAAACAATGCTAACTAAATATTCATTCAAAACAATCTAATTTACAAACTAGAACAATGATAATAAGTTTCACACTAAGATGGAGAGAGAGCAAAGTGACTCACACTGGCATGGATTTTTTTTTTTTTTAAAGAGGGACACTATTTGTAAACAACCATATTCTTAAACCACAATGAGCAAAAACACACTATATATCCAAGGGATCACTTCCTACCCTCTTGCACTTTAGACAGCTGGTAGTCAGACAGGTTTTACAAATAATACTAAAAGCAAAGAAAATCAGAGTGAAAGTGAGAACTAGCATATCCAAAAGAAGCAGTAAGGATATACAGGAAACCACAAAGAAAACACAGGGCTGGACAATACAAGGCAGACCTTACATGACTTAAGAGTTGCAGAAATAATTTTTAAATTTCATTACCACCAGTACCATTCATCAGATAATTAAGAGAATTTTAATTTCCACATATGCCTTAAAGTAACACTAACTCTTAAGATAAAACATCTTACCCTAGCTGGTTTGGCTCAGTGGATAGAGCATCAACCTGTGGACGGAACGGTCCTGGGTTTGATTCCAGTTAAGGGCACATGTCAGGGTTGTGGGCTCAATCCCCAGTGGTGGGGCGTGCAGGAGGCAGCCGATCAATGATTCTCATCATTGATGTTTCGTTTTCTTTTTTTAAAAAAACATATTTTATTGATTTTTTACAGAGAGGAAGGGAGAGGGATAGAGAGTTAGAAACATCGATGTAAGAGAAACATCGAACAGCTGCCTCCTGCACACCCCCTACTGGGGATGTGTCCACACCAAGGTACATGCCCTTGACCGGACCTGGGACCCTTCAGTCCCCAGGCTGACACTCTATCCACTGAGCCAAACCGGTTAGGGCTCATCATTGATGTTTCTCTCTCTCTCCCCATCTCCTTTCCTCTCTGAAATCAATAAAAATTATTAAAAGAAAAAAAAAGATGAAACATCTTAATGTAAGAAACTTTTGTTTTCCCCAAATTAATGAAAAGCTATAAACTGAGTAAGAAATGCAAAGTGCCCTAAATTTTATGCAGTAACAACATTTAAGATCATGATATTATGGCATAAGTAATCACTCAACAAAAAGTGTAGTTATTTAACCCATATTCTATTCATGATGCTTAAATTTTTATCAAAGAAATGGGTAATGATTTGAGAATATGTGAAACTCATTTATCAGGGAAAGATGAATAAAGAGTATTTAAAAAAAAATAATTTGGGCCTGATCAGTGTGGTTTAGTGGTTAAACATCGACCTATAAACCAGGAGGTCATGGTTCGATTCCGATCGGGGCACATGCCTGGGTTACAGGCTCAATCCCCAGTAGGGGGCATTCAGGAGGCAGCCCATCAATGATACTCTCTCATCATTGATATTTCTATCTGTCCCTTTTCCTTCCTTTCTGAAATCAGTAAAAATATATTTTTTTAAAAATAATAATTTGGTTTCAACTCCTCAATACACAAAGAGAAACTGAATTCTTAACAGAAATAATAAGTGGAATGCAACCTAAAGAAAATAACTATGAAAGTAAAATTATTTCTGTAAGTGTACAATCTTACAACACTGATATACTTTTATTTTGCTCAGAGTGGTCTGAGAATAGGCAGAAATTACAGCATATAAAGCACAACGTATTTACATACCAAAAATTTACAATACTGATATTCTCATTGAAGTATTATCTATTTGAACCTAGATATTGTATGCTTTTAGAAAAACTAATACATTTTTTTAAAATGAGAATGCAATTAACATTACCAACAGTTCAAACACAAAAAAATTAAAATAGGACAGACATTAACAGCTTGCCAACATCATAATGTTTCCAGTTAAATTAAGAACTTGCTCTTTTAGCCATTCATCATCATTTTAATAATAGATTACATTGTTTTATTTGTATACAGACTTTCTGACATTCACTTCAGCTTCCAAGGTACTCTTATTCCATTTAGTCAATTTTAAGATTTACCTGAAAGCTCAAAAGGACTCATATTTAAAAACTTCTAAAAAGGTCAACAGACCTTAAAGGTGATTAAATATGCTGATATTGTTTATTTTTAAAAGTTTTTCACTTGATTATCTTTAATCCCACTCCCCCATCCCTACATCAACCATAAGTTTGGTATATAGCAAAGATATAATATTCCAGAATAACAGAAATTTTTGCACTAAAAATGCTTATGTAAAAATATTGCTTGGATGAAGGCACATAACAATATTGCAACTCAATTCTGATTAATGTACAAACAAAACATGAAGATTCTGGTATGGTTACACATCAGTGATTAAGAAAAATGTCAACAATAGTTTTCAAGTTAGCAATTCATAGTTAATGTCTGAATCTAACAAAACTCAAGGCATGATATAGTTAGGTGTACCCCATTACTGGAATGTAATGTTAGTTAATTCAAAGTATTTAAAATCAACAAGAAACTTTTCAAGGAGTTTACTTGGCCGACTACTCTAGTTTAAATAGAACCAGTAAGAAAACTCATTAAAAATATAACTTGTAGGACCTATACCTTACTATAAAATGAAATGGCTGATAAGCATTCAAGTAATAAGTTGGCCACAATTCATCTTAAGCAATTGATGGACACTGAGAATTTTTTCATAAGATGAAATAAGATCTGTTCAATCCAGGGGTATCAAAACCTGTATCTTTTAAAATTTAATGTTTAAATTTACATGATACAAGTATTCAATTGTTACTCATCCGAAAAACAGTACCTATTTCAATAAGCCTAATTTTAAAAGTGAAAGATGTTTTGCATCACATTAGAGAAATGTTTTGAGAAGTATTTATATTAAGTTCTATAATACAATACATGGAGGAATATTTTAAAATTGAAATTTTGATAAATACACTACATATTTGGAATGCCCTAAGACCCCTGAGTCATTAAATGTCAGGATTAGGATATTGAAATGCAAGGAAAAGTATTAAAACTGGCCTTTTCACTTCAAAGAGCTCTTAAAACTACAAATAATGGAGTAGATTATTAGGTGCCATAAAAATAAGACTGACATGCTTATTTACTAAATTATCAAAAAAATTATCAGTTGCTAAAACATATCTATTAGCTAAATAAACTGCTCTTCTAACACAAAATTATACATTGTCTTTGATTTTGTCCATAACAGTTTAAATACTAACAATTACCATCACTTAATTTTCAATGTTCCTCATGATTATGGGAAATAACTGTGTAAAGAGTAGTTACACAGTTATAGTCTAATCTGAGTATGCCAACAACATATAAAGAAAAAATATTGGTTTACAGAATAACCTTTGTGTAACATGCACAAGCATTTATAGTGCCCTCCTCCCACTTTTCACATGAATAAACGCTGTTCACAATATAAAAATAAAATTACACGTGAAAATGAAGTAGAAACAGACAACTCTTACTGCTTTATGAAAAATGTACACAAGAAGGTTTTAAAATACAGAAAAAAAGACAATGATTATGGTTATGAATGAAACATCAAAGAAAATTATTCCATGGTTATTCTAACCTGGGATGAAGAATTTGATACAATTAAAAATTCTTAGATGTGAAGTATCCCGAACCCATTTTAATTAAGGTTCATATCTTCTTTGCAAATTAAAGAATACTGTGTTTTGTTTTTTCTTTCTTTTAAAAACAAAAACCAGGTGCTAGAAAAAGTGTCTTTACTAAAAACTGGGTTTTTTGTTTTTTTAAGTAGAAAAACTCTTTCAATGTTGAGAAACCATCCTGCATTTTTAAGTTTTAGGAATGAATGAATGAAGTTAGTTCCAGAAGAGAAACTTTAAAATTTACTTTTTAAAGTCCAAGCACTATATATATATATATACACACATATACATATATATATATGAGAAATAATTCCTTGTATTTTATATTTTAAGTCATATGCAAATCATATGATTAAGAGAATTCCAATTTTTGGATTTTAGAAGTAGATAATGAGTCCTCTTGATTATTTTCCTGCTTTCTTAAGACCCTTAACAATCTGAAAACTAAAAGTTGTAACTCAGCAATACAATATTCAAAGATAAGAGGTCAAATTTTTTACCTGTCATTACTCACCTGTCATCTGTCTCAGATGGTTCCAGAAGATTAAATTCAGAACAAGTAGTTGGACCATTTAAAATGTAGGTATATACTGTATAAACAATAGCCTCGGAGTTATAATTACTGTTAATAATGCATAGACTAAATACAATAGGACAAGGGATACCCACCTTCTAACGATGACGATACTCGCGCTCTCGGTCACGCTCTCGGTCTCGGTCCCGATCTCGGTCACGGTGTCTCTCTCTTTCTCTGCTTCTCTCTCTATAATAATCATCATGACGATCTCTACTGTGGGACTTATGGCGCCGACTCTTTTCTCGTGATCTACTATGGTCCCTCTCTCTTGATCGTTCACGTCTTCTAAAAGAAATTACTGGATTAATGCTCTCCATAATTGGATAACTTAAAAAGATTTTCAATATTTAGTGTTTGGGGACTTTCTCCTTTCCCACGTGGGAGTCTGTACTTGTTCTTCAATAAATTTCCGCCTTTGCTATAATAAAAAAAAATATCTAAGGCAAAAATAAATTTTATAGGCCTATTTCAGACTTATGATATCTTGAACATCAATGATTTACCAACACACCTATAATCATGAACTAGATTTTCCATTTTTAAAAATACTCACCCAAATACTGGGAACATGGCACACATCATGTTTTATCTATTGCTAGACGCCCGGTGCACAAATTCGTGAACAGGCTGGGTCTGGCCAGCCCACCCAGATGGGGGCCGGGCTGGCGGGGGGGGGAGGGGGTGTGGGCAATTGGCTAGCCAGCCCCACCCCCGATTGGGTTGTTGGGGCCAATCAGGGCCTGGATCAAACCGGTTGGCTGCCACAGTGTGCGTCACAGACACCGGTTGTTCTGGCTTTTCCGCCGTTCTGGTCGCTGGGTTTTTATATACATAGATAATTTGTAGTCTAAAATAGACATGTATTGTTCACCGAATAATAAACAGGAAGGTAAGCCATAGTCAGTTTGGCTCAGCAAATAGAGTGTCGACCCGCAGACTGAAGGGTCCCGGGTTTGATTTAGGTTAAGGGCAAACATCTTGACTGCAGGCTCGATCCCCAGCCCTGTCAGGGCTCGTGTGGGGGGCAATCAATGTGCCTCTCTCCCATCAATGTTTCTCTCTCTGTGTCTCCCTCCCACTCTCTCTAAAAATCAAAGGGAAAATAGCCTCCCAGGAGAATTTACATAAGTAAACAAACAGAAAGGTGAAAGAGAAAATTTCAAAGGACTTCTATTTCAAGCTAAAGAACATACAGAAGATAGTTCTGTAGATATAAAATTCATGAAATCACTGAATATACAATGGGACTTAAATATAAGAAATTACCATCTATTGCCTGGCTGATGTGGCTCAGTGGATTGAGCGTCATCCCATGCACCAAGAGGCCACCAGTTCCATTACCGGTCAGGCACATGCCTGGGTTGCAGGTATGATCCCCAGTACATGGACATGCGGGAGGCAGCCGATCAATGTTTCTCATTGATATTTCTGTCTCTTTCTCCCTCTCCTTTCCTGCCTCTAAAATCAATAAAAACATCTTTTTTAAAAAAAAATTACCACCTATTAACACAGGTTACCTAAACCCATACATAAATATTAATTTTACCTTTATAACTAACTAAAAAATGTTACTCTAAGAAACCTTCTAATAATATATGCATGTTTGTTGGGAAGGCTGAGAAGAGTGGTGGGAAGCAAAGAAGAAAACCCACTAATTACAACCACTAGTAAAGACTGGGATATTATTTACATTGTTACTTAATGAAGAGAAGTGTTTCATGAACCACTTAAAAAAAACAAACCACAGGTAATTTAACAAAGTATGCTGTCTAAAATACTTTTAAAAATTCTATTCTAAATTTGAAATTCATTATTAGGTGCTTACTTTGGGCTTAAAATGTTTAAAAGAAGAATGTATGAGATATGGTTTTTAGCTATGACGAATAATTTGTTCAGATACAAAAGCCCTTACCATGGGTTAAAATGTAATAATTATAAAGTAGGGGACCATGACTATGACAATCTCTTTTTCCTTAACTTTATGAAAAAGATTCTACAACCAGATAAATTATACAAAAGACAGATCTCAGAGTATCATGTGAAGATTAAAGATCTACCATTAAAAAGTATGAAAAATTTCAAGGTAAGCAGTAATGCTAAAATATGGAATTACCTAATTAAAAAACTTAAGAATAGATAATCCATTCATTAACTCCCTTGTTCAAGAAACGTTTACTTAACACCCATTCTGTATATTCATTAGAAATATTGTAGTGACAGCCACTATGGAAAATAAATATGAAGGTTCCTCAAAAAATTAAGAATAGAGCTACCATATGACCCCGGAATGAATCTCTCTCTTCTGGGTACACCAAAAAAAAGTTAGAAAACATTTATTTGTAAAGATATATGTACCCCTATGTTCATCGCAGCATCATACATGGTAACCAAGACATGGAAAAAACCAAGTGTCCATGGATGGATGACTGGATAAAGACACGGTTCAAAGATAAAACAGAATATTACTCAGCCATAAGAAAGGATGAAAAACTACTATTCACAACAATATGGATGGATCTTGAGAGTATCTTACTAAGCAAAATAAGCCAGACAGAAAAGGACAAGAACCATATAACTTCACTCATACATGGGATATAAAACACAAAGCAACAAAGGAACAAACAAAAAGCTCATACATAAACAATAGTATTGTGGTTACCAAAGGGTAAGGGGGTGAGGGGATTTTGAAGGTAAAGGGGCTCAAATAAATAGCAATAAAGCAAGACTAGCCCTAACCAGTTTGGCTCAGTGGATAGAGCGTCAGCCTGCGGACTGCAGGGTCCCAGGTTCCATTCTGGTCAAGGGCATGTACCTTTGTTGCGAGCACATCCCCAGTAGGGGGTGTACAAGAGGCAGCTAATAGATGTTTCTTTCTCGTCGATGTTTCTGACTCTCTATCCCTCTCCCTTTCTCTCTGTAAAAAATCAGTAAAATATATTTAAAAGCAAAAAAACCCCCAAAATAGGCGACTAGACTTTTGGTGGTGAACACACAATGCAATATGCAGATGATGTTTTATACAATTGCACACTTGAATCTATGTCACCTCAAAAATTTATTTTAAAAAAAGAATATTGTAGTGAATAGGATGGGTAAGGCCCCTTCCAACTTTCAACATGTATAGTGAAAATAAATGTGAATTAATAATAAACAGGAATATAGTAGTACTATGTAAGCAATAACAAAACCTGACAAAATGTCCTAGGAGAAGACTCCTGCTATAAGTTAGACTGAGTTGAGGCATGAAAATATAAGCCATGCCCTGGCCAGTATGGCTCATCTGGTTGAGCAGTGTCCCATATGATGCCTGATCAGGGCATATGCCCAGGTTGTAGGCTCAATCCCCAGTAGGTGGCGTGCAGGAGGCAGGCAGCCCAAGGCGTGTGTGTGTGTGTGTGTGTGTGTGTGTGTGTGTGTGCGCGCGCGCGCGCGCTTTCTCTCTTTCTTTCCCCCTCTCCCTCTCCCTCATCAATAAAAACATTTTTTCAGGAAAAGGGCTCCTAACAGAAAGAATACCAAGTACAAAAACAATGAAATGATCAAGTGTAAGTATAATCAAAGTCCTATTTTAAAGTCCCAAACATATTTTTTCCATATGTAAAAGTAGCAGGTTTAAATAGAAATGAGACAGGAAAGTTTTACCTTGATCCAGAACCATAAGACTTGGATTCAATTCCATGAAGGCAAAATTGCAAAGAGCTAATAAGAACTTTGCAACGATCATCAGCAGATACTTTGGATTGTTTAATTAAAGAAATTGCAGTTACCAATGTCTCAATTGCACTCCCATAATCACCTGTGAGGGGAAGAAGAGGGGTTGAAGTCAAATAAATTTTATTTTCAAAATACCACCAAACTACCTCTGCAGTAAGAGTATAAATATAAAGTAGTTTACACAAGGAGTGAACTTTAAAATGACCACAGATGATTTATTTTTTTAGTATCTTACCATTTGCAATAGGCTTTTCTGTGCATAAAATTAACAGTTTTTTGTTATTAGTATAGCTATATGAAACACGTTACCGTTTTGTAAATATGATAATAAATGAGGTCCTAAGGCGCCTCAGTCATTAAATGTCAGGGTTAAGATTTAAATCTACATCTAAAAATTTTAAATTAGGGGCTTTTCCATTACACTGTGACATACAGCTTTCTTCAACACCTTTTAAATAAAGGAGAGAAATTGACTTGGGAATATATAAATAACTACTACATAGAAACGATCATTCATAGTAACATAATTAAGAAGTATTAATACAGAAAGAAATACACAAACCAGCGCTGGCATCAGACACGGCTCTTGAAATGGCACTGCTTGAGATTGCCCTATTTCTATTCATGATTTCTTCAAACTCAGCTTCACTCAGTGGAGTTCTTGCTGTATCCATTTCCCTATAAAAATCAGAATAAACTTTAACTCATACACAACAGATTTCTAACTTAGTCTTAACAGTATATAAAGCAATTTATATTGGTTGTTTTGACAAGTGCCTTAGAGCAAGTATTTACTTTTCCAAACTGATGCATGCTATTTTCTCCTACTAAGAAAGCAAATCTAATAAGCAAAATTCTCTAATATCACGATCTTACAGATAAAACGAAGTACCAGCTTAGAAATCTTCTTTGTGGAGGCCAGAAATGATATATTTATATATCTACAATATAACATTTTTAATTCTCACACAAACAGGTAAGAAATTTTTTGATGAATACACACACAAAATGTTGACTGCAAAAAATAAAGCCTGCACAATCAAGGACAGCAATTTGGTTTCATTACATTTAGATACTCCAGGCAGAGGGCCCAACTCACAACTGAAGGATAATAAATGTCTGATTAATAGAATTTCAGGCAAGACAAGACTGTAGACTATCCTGTTTGCCACTAAATCCTAGAAAAGTATCTGGAAAATAAAAGGTACTCAGTAAGTGCAAATATTGGTTTAAAAAAATGAGTAAAATGCCAAGCTTTTCTAAAGGTGTTTGACAACACTGAAAATTGTACATGTAGCCCTAGCCAGCGTGGCTGTTAGTTGAGCACTGTCCCATGCACTGAGAGGTCACCGATTCAATTCTTGTCAGGGCACATGCCCGAGTTTTGGGCTCTATCCCCTCTAGGGGGTGTGCAGGAGGCAGCCCATTGATGTGAGTGATGTTTCTCTTTCATCGATCTTTCTATCACTCGCTCCCTCTCCCCACTTCTCTCTAAAAAAAATCAAAAACATATTTTTTAAAAAAATATATGAAGGAAATTAATCCCCAGGGATTTAGTGACTTGCCCAAAGTCACACAGCTATGCAAGAAGCAGAGCTGGATTATTCCCAACCCTGTTCTGTGTATCTTTTTACCATACCATACTGCCTTTTATAATAAGAAGAGAAAATAACACAGAAAATTAAGTATCTGGGGAAAGACCATAACGTTTTAAAAACTTCAATGATGGAACATAGAGTATCTTCTACAAAATATACCAAGTCTACATTCAAAGATACATACTAACTTACCTTCCAGGAGGCCCATAGTCACCCCTATCATATGGCGGAGGTCGGCCATATGGATCTGTTGGTGGTGGACCCCGACTATCTGATGTAGGCATGCCGCTGTTAGTTGGTGGAGGAAAGAAAGCTGGGTTCACATGTGGAGCTGGCGGTGGGGCACCTGGAGGTGGTCCAGGAAGATGCGGAGGAGGAGCAAGTGTAAGGGGTGGCCCAAGAGGACCAGGTAGACAAGGTGGAAAGGGGCCTGGAGGTGGAGGTGGTCCCTGTTGTGGAGGTGGTGGACCAGGAGGGGGGCCGTATCCTGGAACTGGAGGTGGAGGACCAGGAGGAAGCGGACCCAAAGGAGGCTGCCCAAAAGGTTGTCCAGGAAAAAGAACTGGCGGTGGAGGGCGATCGCCTCGATTAGGAGGCCCAGCTAAAGGAGGAGGCAGAACCTGACCAGGTGGAGGTGGACCTGGTGGACCAGGTGGACCTGGAGGACCTAAGGGTGGACGTGGTGGAGTCTGTCCAGCTATAGAATGAAGGGGAGGAAAAAGAAACAAAAAAAAAAAACACACTTCAATAAAGTATTTTAACCTTCATGCCAAGATTATACTTTTAAAGCATAACTCATAGACCAATATTCTTTCTTGTTAAATAAAACCCATACGGTAAATGCTACACTAACAATTACAAAGATAAAGTATATCCTTACAAATTTAACTTCCTCAATTTATGCTTAAGAAAAATTATTGAAACAAAAACTTTACTAAAGACAATTATACTTAGCGATAGCTTCCATCTTTCAGCATACACACATTTCTTACAGTGAAATCACCCACCTTATATTCTACTCTGATGCCAAGCTAGAAAGTGAAATAAGGAAAAATTGTCTTGAAAGAATTTTTTAAGAGGTAAGAAAATAAGACGGATGTAAATATTCTATATATAAGTCAAGCAAGTTTGGAGAAAAATAAAGACCTTTTAGGCCAAAAATGGGTATTTCCTCTATGCTGTGCCCCATATGCCATGGAATCCTAGTTTCCAGGAACAAAGGCCGAGTTCCTTTAACAAGATGCTTGATCAAATTTCCTGGATTCCAAAAATAGCATAACAAGGAGAGTAAGTCACATCAATAATGCATTACTTGAAAAGAGAGAAAAGGAAAAGAGGTATTAGATAGACACATTTTATCCATGGTAATTTTAAGAAAAAATTTACCTGGAAAAGGTGGGGGTGGCCCTCCTGGTCCTGCTGGCCCAGGAAATCTGTCCCCACCGGGAACAGCCCCTGGAAAACGGCCCCGTCCTCTACCACCTTGTGGAAATGCTGCACGTGAACTGCCTCCTGGAGGACCAGCTTTACCTTCCCCAGACATTTGTCCTGATTGTGTAGCTGCAAATATCCAAATACTCATAAATAGCATTTATTGAAATAGTTCTCTGAAATGTAACCATTATTATTAGAAACAACCACATTTCAAAGATCATTTATACTATACACTAACTTGTAGATGCCTTGGGCCTTTCCAAACTACTTGAGAAGTATTGATTAGGAAAACATTCACATTTATTTGCGTTCTTTTGAAGTCTCAAAATATCCAGGCACATATGTATTTCCAATGAATAAGTACGAGTTACTTTCAAAATACAGTACTCTCTGCAGCAGCCAAGACCAAATTCTCCAACAGAAATCCAAATTTCACTAAGCATAAATCATTTAAATTTTGTAACATATTCTTGTTAATTAAGCTTTTAAGTGCTAAAACATTAAAAAAATACCAACCACTTGAATTTCTGTTTAATACATGATCATCCATCTTATCTCTTTAAGTGTTAGCATTCATAAGTGGGCAATGGCAAATCTTCTCTATAGTCACTTTACCAAGTGGTGAAAGGTCTTGGTGCCAAGCAGAAATCAACGAATATTTTCTGGTTATCAGTGGTTTCTCCACCACCATAACACACATCCACATAAGTTTCCTTCAATCTAAGGATTAGAATGTAGTTTCTTCCTTTCTCTAGGATGGGAATGACAGGACAAGAATGGCAGGGCTACAGAACTTGCACACTGTTGAATAATAATGGGTTTGTGACACCTAGAGAAAAATGGGAGTAGGTTTCCAGCATACAGGATCACAGTCATAACCAGTAATTAAATCAAATGCAAAGCATGAACTTCCTAAAATGGGTTCTCCAACAAACTAGATATTAAGGTGACTTTTCTAGTATAATATCTAATAAATGGTAGCAAAATTGATTAAAATACACATCTTTTAATAAAAGCCTCAGAGGAATTGCTTACTTTTCCTGGACTGCATTTCAAATTGACTCAGGAACTGTTTATTGCATGGAGTTACAACAGGATTCTGACCATGAAGTTCTCTTTTAGGCAACAGATCCATTAACTTCTTTGAGGATGCTTCAGATCCAACGCCAACAAGGGCAAACCTAAAAGATGTTTAAGGGATGGGAATAGAAAGTGAGTAGAGATTAATAATGTTACTATTATTAAAAAGAAAATAGCCTGAATTCAATTTTATCTAAGAAAACAAAATACTTAAATTAAAACTATACAAGTTCATACTTTCATCTTTAACTTTTTAAATAACATATACAATTCACTCATTTAGCGTACAGTTCAGTGATTTTTAGTACATTCCCAATTTTCCAACCATCACCACAATCAGTTTTAAAACATTTCACCACACCAACATAAAGCCTCATTCCCATTTCCTTTCATCCCCCAACCCTAAGCAACCACTAATCCACTTTGACTTTATGGATTTGCCTATTTTGGACATTTCATATAAATGGAACCATACAATATGTAGTCCTTTGTGACTGGCTTCCTTCACTTAGCATGCTTTCAAGGTTTACGCATGCTATAAGTATGTTTCTGTACTTAATTTCTTTTTATGGCTGAATAATATTCCATTATATGAATACTACACATTTTAAAAATCCACTCACTGATGGACATTTGAGTTGTTTCCAATTTTTGGTTATTATGAATAATGCCAGTACGAAAAGATGTTCAACATAAGTAACTAACAGGGAAATGTAAATCAAAACTACAATAAGATACCACCTCACATCTGTTAGACTGACTATCATCAAAAAACAAGAGATACAAGTATTGTTGAGAATGTGCAGAAAGGGGAGCCAGTGAAAGAGAGAGATAGACATCAATGATGAGAGAGAATCATTGATTGGCAACCTCCTGTCTGCCCCACACCGGATCAAGCCCCGCAACCCAGGCATGTGCCCTGATTGAGATCAAACCATGACCTTCTGGTTCATAGGTTGACGCTCAACCACTGAGCCATACCAGCTGGGCCCCACTAGAGTACCTTTAATAAAAAAGACAAGTCTTGATGAGGATGAGAAACTGAAACCTTCACACACTGCTGATGGTAATGTAATATGGCACAGCCACTTTGACAATCAGGCAGTTTCTCAAAAAATTAAATACAGAGTTAACAAATAAAAGGCTAATATGCAAATAGACCGAACAGCAGAACAAACCGAACACCCTAACAACCGGTCGCTATGGCATGCGCTGACCACCCGGGACATGCGGGGAACATGGCAGATCTCGGCCCAGTGGGATGGTCAAGCAGGTGAGCAGGGATGCCAGACTAAGGCACAGCGCTGGTCGCTGTCATCGGGGCAAGCCTCTGGTGGTTACTGAAAATTCTTTGCTCCCACACACCATGGTCCTGCCTGGCGCTTGCACCCACTGCTGGCACCAGAATCGCCGCTTACACCTGCTGCCAGTGCCCGGCGCCAGTTCCGATCACTCAGTGCTGTCAGCAGGTGCGAGCGGTGGCTGCTGGCCCCTATCACCCCTGAGGGCTTCTCCACCTTCCCCTGCTCCTGAGGGGCGATTGGAGCAGCAGCCACCACTTGTACCCACTGACAGTGCCAGCCTTGCTTGCACCCACTGCTGGCACTGACCCCAATCGCTCTGCGCGTCAGCGGGTGTGAGTGGGGCTGTCGGTGGGTGTAAGTGGGGCCGGTGCTGTCAGTGTGTGGCAGTGCGGGGGCGGGGCTGCTGGCAGACACGGGACTGGGGTCTGCAGTCCGCAGTAGGAGGGGCTGGGCCGAGACCTGCCCCTGTGTCCAACAGAGCCTCGCGGCCCACAGTTCCTTTCAAGGTGCATGAATTCATGCACTGGGCCCCTGGTATATGTATATGTTGAAGAATTGAAAATCTATGTTCACACAAAGCTGGCACATGAATATTCATAGGGGCATTATTCACAATTAGCAAAAGCAGAAACAACCCCAATGTCCATCAAGTAAATAAAGAGGGTACATCCATATAATGAAATACGTGGCCACAAAAATAATTAAGTACAGATACATGCTACACCATGGATGAACCTTGAAAGCCTGTGCTAAGTGAAAGAAGTCAGTCACATGGGACCACTTATTTTATGATTCCATTTATATGGAATGTTCAGAATAAGCCAATCCATAAAGATAGATTGCTAATGGGTATGAGATTTCTTTTGGGGGTGATGAAATGTTCTGGAATAAAATGGTGATAATAGTTGAACAACTTTGCAAATATACTAAAAAACCACTGAAGATTTTAAAAGTGAATTTTTGATATGTGAGTTACACAGCAGTTAAAAAAATACATTTAAAACAAAAAAAGATTAACAGTTTTGCACAGCTATAGGATATTTTAAATATCAGGACTCTCAGGAGCTTGGAACCCTTTTCTCCCTAATGTTCAAATTGGTTGTTAACTAGAACCCCTATTCCAGTTTTTTTTTTGTTGTCAAAAATTCTGCTGTTGTGAGTCAAGATTAAATTTAGCAACAATTTAATGAATTCATTAATTTAACATGTATTTATTGAGCAATACGCCAACTCCTACATGCCAGGCACCACACTAAGGCTAAGGATACAATAGTTGACCAAAACTAAATCTCTGCTTGCATGAATCTTATAATGTGGTGGGAGACAGGGTAATAAACAAGTAAAAATACAATAGTAACAGAAAAAATAAAGACAGGAAACAGTGACGGAAAGAGAGGGTGCTATTTTGCACCAAGATGGTTGGGAAGGGGAACTCTTTTAAAAGAGAGTTCTGAAGGAAATGAGATCCATATGAACATTGCAGGAAAAAGTAAACCAGAAGAGGAATCACATATATAAGGTCCTATGTAGGAATGTATTTGAGGAACAACAAACAGACTACTATGGCTGAAACAGCGTAAGGAAGCACAGAATGGTTAAGAGAGAATGTCAGAGAGGTTGTGGGAAAACAGATCAGATAGCATTTGTAGGCCATAGTAAAGATTCTAGCTTTCACTGGAGATAAAAGCTATTAGAAGATTCTGAGTAGACTAATATTGGTGCCACTTTTTTCCAACTTCTATGTGTATACACTTTAGGAAATTAGGGTGAAAGCAGGAACACGTAATAGGCAGCTACTGCAAAAGTTCAGAAGGTAGTTTTATATAAAATGATTACTGCTGTAATATAGGTATAATAAGCAAAAACTGGAAACAACCGAAATAACCAAAAATAATAATGGTAAAATAAATTACAGAAGCATACGAAGTATGGAAAGAATTAGACATTAGAAGAGAATATGTACTTATTAATAATGCTTGTTTTTCTCCTTGTATCAAACACCTTATAAAACACATGAATTGTAATCTACGTGGTTTTTTTTTGCAATAAAAACATGAAGTGCTATGACGAAACCTGAAACTATATTCACTAAAATGTTAAGAGTGATAATCTATGGATGGTTAGATTATGGCTTTCTTTAAATTTTGAATATGTGTTGTATAATGTTCCTATCTCATGTGTATAATTTAACAGTTTAAAAAAATAAAGCAAAACATCCAAGTTACAGTTACTCTCCTGTTGCCCATCTTCCCCAACCCTTTAATCCCAGGGATAATAACGTTTCTTGAAACTGTCATCTCAATAATAATTTCAACCATTGATGGAGAAAACTCAGGGAAATTAAAGAATAGACACAATCTGTTCACACTTACAGCTCTACTAGTTTTAGTGAGCTATATCACAGGACAAATGGAGTACAAATCTTTGCCCAAGAACCTCCTGCCAATGTGGACAACACAGCATTCTACACATGTGAATAGAAAGCATTAACTTGAAGAAAATTTAACACCAAAAATACTAACTTATATTAGGGGAAAAACATCTTACCCCTTTGATTGGCCATTTGCCCGATTTTCAAAAAACTTTATCTCCAAAATATCATTTACTCCCAAAGAATGCACTGCTTCAGTTAAGTCTTCATCTGTTGTCCACTGCAAGACATTTCCCCCTCATTAACCATTAAAACATATCCAAGATTTTTATGCTTCATTTTTTTAAGGGTAAAGTCACAATAAAGAAAATTAATGCTCAGTTCAAATCTAAGTGCAGTTGCTGCAAATTAGTCTTCAATTTTTAAATAGCACAAAAGTACCTGAGGGCAAAATGCATTCCTTGATAATTTTCAGAAATTAGAAGATACATATCTTTAGGGATAGGGTAGTGGGATAGGATAGGATAGTTTTTTTTATCTTAAAAAGTTTCTGGTTTCTTCCAACATTAAACTGCAAAGATTTAATATTTTAAATAAAACTAGTATCACTTGTCACTTCCTCTCCTTAAAGGCAACCATTTGGGGAAATAAATTCCGTTTAAAAATACAGCCCTAACTGGTTTGGCTCAGTGGATAGAGCATTGGCCTGTGGACTGAAAGGTCCCAGGTTCGATTCTGGTCAAGGGCATGTACCTTGGTTGCGGACACATAAAAAAAAAATGTACTGAGTACCTACCATGTACTTTATATCAAATATTTAACTCTTAAACAGTCTTATAAGTCCTATTATTATTCCCATTTCACATACGATGAAAGAGAAGTTAACAAGCTTGCCTAATATCACAAAACTAATAAATGGAGGAGTCCAGATTCAAAGGTGTAGTTATCAATCACTCTCCATTACTGTACTGTTAGTCTCCAATATTATAAAACTTCTCAGATTGGGTGGTAGAAGATCAATTCGTGTGTGTTTTAATATAAATATTTTAAAAAAAAATGCTATTAAGGAAGTTGAAGAGTGACAAGTATTTTTTTTAAATTGAATTTATTGGAGTGATATTGGTTAGTAAAATTATACAGGTTTCAAGTGTACAATTCTGTAATACATCATCTGTATATTGCTGTGATTTTCAACCTTTTTCATCTCATAAACTACCAGAATTTGATAGCATACCAAACCATATGCTTTTTTGCCAAACTGACAAAAAAAGGGTATTTTTTTGTTCATTCACACCAGATGGCTATTGTTGTGTTGGCTGTTGTCATTTTTTTCCTTTGACAATCTAAGGGAAAAGAGGTCAGTGCACCTGACTAAATAATCAGGTACTGTGTGTTTCAATATACTTGTTGAAAATTTCTGGTATATTGTATTATGTGTTCACCACCCAAAGTCAAGTCTTCTTCTGAGGAGTGACAAGTTTTGATTTCTAGACAATTTTTTAAACTTTCCAGTACGTATAATACACATTTCAAAGTAGAGATAAAAATTCTATAGACTTGCTCTAGTGCAGAGATGGCGAACCTTTTGAGCTCGGCATGTCAGCATTTTGAAAAACCCTAACTTAACTCTGGTGCCGTGTCACATATAGAAATTTTTTGATATTTGCAACCATAGTAAAACAAAGACTTATATTTTTGATATTTATTTTATATATTTAAATGCCATTTAACAAAGAAAAATCAACCAAAAAAATGAGTTCGCGTGTCACCTCTGACACACGTGTCATAGGTTCGCCATCACTGCTCTAGTATTTAATGCTAATAAAATTATAAATAGCTACATTAAACATCCAGTTAATGAAACTCCAAACCACTAATTTTAAAGTTCCATAAATGCAAATTAAGATAGAATGTACAGATAGCAGTATTTCCATAAATAAGATTAAAATGCTAAGAGCAGCCCTGGCCGATTTGGGTCAGTGGATAGAGCATCGGCCTGCAGACCGAAGGGTCCTGGGTTAAATTCCGGTCAAGGGCATGTACCTTGATTGCAGGGCCCTCCCTGGCTGGGGCCTGGTCAGGGCTCGTACAGGAGGCAACCGATCAATGTGTTTCTCTCACATCAATATTTCTCTCTGTCTTTCCCTCTTTCTCTAAAAAATAAAAGAAAAAATCAATGGAAAAATATCCCTGGGTGAGGATTAAAAAAAATTGTAATAAAATAAAATAAATTGTACTTCTGTATACTAGCAACCAGCAATTAGAAATTAAACATTTAAAAAAAATTTAAGATCAGAATTTAGCATGTTCTCCCTTCCGTGAGTATTCCAGCATCTTCCCTTTCTCTCTCTCTTCTTTCCCCACACGCTACTAAACTCTACGGGACCTAAACTCTAAGAGACCCTCCCCAAGATTTGCAACCAGAAGAGCAAAAGGCGGCAGCAGCTCGTCCAGGGGTAGCTCCCTGAATATGTCCCCAAAGCCCCTTTTCTCTGACTTCTCAATGAATCAAAGCAGCCCAGCCTAGGTTCTCTCCTGTTGCTTCTTCTATCCTAAGCCCCTCCTTGATTCACTATCCCCAGCTTTAATAAATGTACTCAAAATAAGAAGAGAGCAGAAATTAAAACTCTGCAAGTTTGTAACAGGAATTAGATAATGAAAACTTCAAAACCAGGAGTCATACTGTGTTTCTTTCTCTCTTACAGTTCTGAATCCTAGTTTGAGACCTTATGTAGACATTTTTCCTTTGTAAAATTGAGATAGCTGACATTTAGGAATAGGTAAAAATAACTGATTTGAAGACAAAATAATTGAACTATATTTAATTGGAATGTCTACCAAAATAAGTTGAATGACTACCAAATTAAAAACTAGAAGATCTGAAATGTTTTAAAGGTACTATTATTGCCCTCCTAATTGTATAAGCAAGCACATAGAAAAAATCAATTTAGTAACTTCAAAGTTAACTGCTAGAATAGCTCAAAATCAATTACCAACTCATATGGTAAGTTTACTTACCCATGTTAGATTTCCAATGTATAATGCAATTCTCTTTCCCGTATATGTATAGACAACATTTGGTGCTGCTCCTTTACCCACATCATCACCAGCAGTTGGTGGGAGAGTATCCATGTAACCCTGGTCTTCTGGGGCATCTCCATTATTTGCAGATGGAGAGATGACATCATCATACAAATCTATCTGATCATGTCCACCATATTCAGCTTCCTGGATACAAAAACAATGTTTTTAAGTCATACAATAGTCAGACTACTACACTAAAGAGATTTCAATATAAATTCATTCAACTATTAATTTAAAAAAACACACAATTTAATTCAACTATTTGTTTTTAAAGTCTCGTAGAAGATAAAAAAAAAAAAGGTCAAAAACTTTATGCCACACGTTTGTTTTTTAATTTACTGATTATAGAAAGGATGATTTCCACTTATTTATACATTCACTGATTGCTCCTAGTACGTGTCCTGACTGGGGATTGAACACACAACCTTGGACAGTGAACTAAAGCTACCCAACCAGGGCCAAACTTGTATTCTTAAACAGTACCTGTAAAGTAAATGTCTATACAGTGAAAGCTATTTTTCCACTATTTATTATAACATGGAAAATAATGTTCCTCTGGGAAAAGAATGACATGGACTCATAATAAAGTACTAATGTAAAACTTTCCTTAGAAGTAAAATACTCTTAAAGTGAAAGTAATAATACATGAATACAAATAGATGAGCTTTTTTTAAAAAAAATTGACACACACAAAAAAGACAGAAAAAAAGAAAAACTCGACACAAAAATATCACAAACAAAAATCAGAGCCATTACAAATATTTATCTTAAGAAAAACACAACTATTATTTTTGATGGTATTCAAGATCTTTTTTCCTAGCCCTGTGAAATCTTTTAGTTTTGGGGGAAAAGTTTAGTGAGCTAAGCCATAGGGAAGGAAGGATGAAATGTGGGCATGTTAATAATTCTGAAAGTTATAACAAATGAACAAGGGAAAGATAAACAATACATAAAACACAAGTAAAACTATACAAATTACTGTCTAGCAATAGCTTTAGTATTCTCAGTCAACAAAGAGTTAATGCTTACCTGACTTAGATTATCTAGTCAATTAGCAAGAGAAAACGGACCTTGGAAAGCTGTGTCACTAACAGAATTAAAGCAATGCTAGTGGATGCCACTTACATGCCTAAATAAGCAAGGAAGAGGGGAAAAAAAGAAACATATATAAAGAAGAGAAAAATGAAAAGGGAGAGTTCAATTTTAAATAAGCCCCCCGCACCCCCAATTAAGTGCAGCTATTGCCAGAACACTCAACACCATTTAAAATTGCCTTTGGTTCCCTAGCTGGTTTGGCTCAGTGGATCGAGTGTTGGCCTGCGGACTGAAGGGTCCCAGGTTCGATTCCAGTCAAGGGCACATGCCTGGATCCCCAGTAGGGGACGTTCAAGAGGCAGTCGATCAATGATTCTCTCTCATCATTGATGTTTCTCTCTCTCCCTCTCCCTTCCTTTCTGAAATCAATAAAAATATATTTAAAAAACAAAATAAAATTGCCTTTGGTAACCATCATTGGGCCACAGGTTTAACTAACCTGTATCAGAGGAAAACCTATTTCCATCTTTCTGCCTTTCCACCAAGTACCTAAAGTCAATGTGAACTATTTTATTCTTATGATGTAGAATGCTGTAAAAGTAGGTTTATAGGTGTTGTATGAAAAATACAGTAATTAATCAATATCATAAAACCTTTCACGAACTCACAACTGTAAACCTATTTTTGCCACACCCTGTATCTGTGACAATAAAGAGAGGCAATCAGTTACAAAACAATGCAGACGTAATAACTCATATCCTCTCCCATTAATACAATTTATTAAGGATGAACTGTTATACAAATGGCACATTAAGAGGAGCAAAGTTTAGGGACTATTACATGGATACAGAATGACCTAAAGAGCATTCGGTAAAATGATTGTAAACAGATTAACAAAGTATTGTTATTATAGGCCCCATAGGAACATAGCTATTACTTTCTTGTTCAGAGGAAGCTAGAGCAAAATTTTAAAAAGAGAAAAAGAAAACCTAGACAGGGAAATACCGTATTTGCCGGCGTATAAGACGACTGGGCATATAAGACGACCCCCTAACATTTCCACTCAAAATACAGAGTTTGTTATATACTCGCCGTATAAGACTACCCCCTCTTCCGCACACCTTCCACACACCAAATAAAAGGTAAAACAATATCAGATTTGATTTTAACATTTTAATTTATATTCAAATGCTTATGACATGCAGGAAAACTGTCACAAGGCTGTATGTAATCAAACATATACATAAAACAGTGCAAGTTTATTACCGGTACACATACCGGTAATTCACTAAAGAAAACACACTCTATAGACTGGTACCGTAGATGCTTCTCAGGAACACAGGCAAGCAGCCCACAACCTAGAGGGACTGTCAATGATAGAAGTAAGATAACAAATAG